AAAGAGAACATTAATTTAAAAAAATCAATGACATTCTCATATACAAAAATCAGTAATTTAAATTTGTATTTTTGAATACATCTTCAAAATAAAAACATTTTCTGACAGGCTTCAGGAGAGTCTAAACGGGGAAATGGCGCCATCTAGTGGTCAGTTTGAAAACTGACAAAACCTTAAATCCGTCATCCATAGAAGAAACGGTGAAATTTTAATAAAGGATGTTAGAACATAAATCAGAAATAAAAACTGTACCCATATTAGAATCTTCTCCCATTTAAAAAATCAAGCTAATTAATTTAAATGTAGATTTTTTTTTTGTTGAAATTTGTTTATGTTAATGAGCGTCATGTTCTGTACAGAATGACCTCACCTTGAAACTCCACCTTTTGGACGGAAGTAGCAAAATAAAAGCATCCATCTTCTGAGCTGAACATTTTAACACGAAAAGCTTTCATCAACAGCTAAACTAACACAAAGTCTGCAAAATAATCGAATAAGGGAATCAACACGAACGAGCATTTATAAATAAATGTTTTTTAAATGATGTTGCACAGCTCCGCCACAAGATGGCGCTATTTGAACGCAAGCAGGTGTCCGCTCCTCAGCATCCCTGAATTCAGCTCTCAGCCGAGCCGCGCGGACCTTCCGAGGCTGTCCGGGTCTTCGCCGACCACCGAGCGGCCTCTGTGGCGGAGGGGCGGCCAGGGATACCAGCTCCAGCTAACCACTGGCTTCGGGGACACCGACTCGCCCGTTTAACTGTGGGCTGAGAGACGGGAGGACCGAGCCATGTCTGCGCCGRGTTACACCAACCACAGCAACTCCGCCGGCTACAGCCAGAACTCAACACCGAACGCAGGAGCTGCGCCTCCCCGTCAGAATGGTAACACAGGCCGGGGTGGTGGGACGAGCCAGCCCGCTGGCGTTAGCATGCTTACCGTGTGGTGACATTTTACTGTCAGACTTTTCACTTTTCGTGTTTATTACCCTTTCCCCTTAATTAGTCCTTCTTAATTTAAAACAATAAATTTAAAATAAAAAAGAAGAACGTCTTAATTTAATAAAAGTAAGGGGTTTATGCTAATGCTAACACATGCTAACTAAGCAGCTAACGCAGCCCCGTTGAAAATAACGGGGAAACGCAGGGTTTGACGTTAGCTCGGTGTTAGCATGTGGTTTAGCAGATTGCGCATCATTATTTTTACCCTATAACTACAGAAAACAGACATGTAGTCAGACTTTACAAAGGTAATGTTTTATTTTTATTGATAATTTCAGGACGCAATAAAAATGGTATTAACATCTGAATTTATGTGGTAAAATTTTGTTTAAAACGTTGAAGCAAATTGAGACATAATTTTTGATTGAGCTGTGTTTATTTAAGAATTTGGCTTTTTTTGTGTCTTTTGCTCAAATTAAGCCTTTAAGGTGCAAATAGAAGAATTCAGGATGTAAATGCATTTGATTAATAACTAGTTTAGCTGTTTGGAAAAGTGATGGTTTAAATACTTGAAGATTTGTCAGAAAAGGACAGTTTTTGTGCCATGTTTAGGATTTTATTATTATTTAAATGCATTTTTTCAGGTGTGTCGTGTAAAAAAAATCAATATTTTCTCCTCTGCTGTTGAGATAATTGACTGTTTTCCCGTCATGTTTGACTAAAAAAGTGACAATAATCTTTGTTTTTGTTTTTTTGTCACTGTCAGGTCCGCTGCAGACCTACCCACCTGTGTACCCACCTGCAGGCTACTACGGCGCTCCTCCTCCACGTCAGAACTACCCCAACATTTCTGCCCCGGGCAAAGCGCCGGTCACAAGCAGCGCCAGCTACTACCAGAACCACCAGCAGCGTCATGTAGCTCCGCCTTCGTACGGCGCCGGCGCGCCGCCTCAACCGTACGCCACCGTCCCGTCTTCAGCCCCGCCTCCTTCAAACGCCCAGTACAGCCAGCCGCAGCAGCAGCCCCCCTACGCTCCTCCGGGGTCTTACTACGCTCAGCAGTCGTACCTGTCTTCTTCAGCGCAGCTTCATCATCATCATCATCATCATCATCAGCCTAGTTTGGTCTCGGCCCCGGCGAGCGTCCCCGGAGCGCCCGTCTACCCTGTCGCCTCCTACCCTTCTGCTCCAGGAAGTTCCCAGTATGGGACCCTCAGCACCTCCCAGACCTCCACCACACCTCAGGCTCCGCCCACCCAGATGGGAGCGCCATTACATCACTACCCGGCGCCGCCTCCTACGTCAGCGCTGCAGCCTGGGTACGATGTGGCGGCTCACGCTCCGCTGACGGCGGTGAACGGGAAAGGAAGCACAGGTGAGTCGCTGCTTACCTGTTTACCTGTTGACCTGTTGACCTGTTTACCTGTTGACCTGTTTACCTGTTTATCTGTTTACCTGTTGACCTGTTGACCTGTTTACCTGTTGACCTGTTGACCTGCTGGCTGAG